TTACTATACTTTCGACCCCTCCCCCACTTTTGGTACTGTTGCGTTGGCACCATGCCTGATTTCATGGTATTGGGAACCGACAATATGGGTTTAAAGTATCATGGCGTTTAAGGAACTGGCGGTGTGAAAAACCGATCAATGCAACCGTGCGAAAATGAGATACTAGAATATACGTATATTGACTTTATTTCGTGAGCAACCTATAGACTTAGACGGATGCCGAGCTTGGGTAGTACAGGTAATAAGTTGGTCCCGAATCAACCGCTGTTGTTGAGATGCAAATTCTACTTCAATAAAATTAAAACGAGCATCATTCGAAAGGCATTTACACAGTGACAAGCCATCCAGAAAAAGCATTCGTATTTTATGAAAGTACGATGTCTTTCAGTGATGGACGGCTCTTCTATCACTACTACGCTTAACCCATCGAGGTTTCATGTGGTTCACCAACCCCAGTCACGGTTGTCGGTTTTCCCCTCTGAAGCAAAATACACCAGTTCAATGGCATTTGTGTGAACTTGGGATAAAAAAGCACGGACAACATCTGGATAAAGCTTTCTAGTGCGTCGAAAAGTTAAGTTCGTTAGAAGCCCTATCTTTAATTGAGTGACTAGACAAAACTGGAAACCGCACGAGTTCGTAGTGGAAGCAACTCATAACACCGTTCAGTCCCACTGCGAATTGAAGGGTATCACCCAATGCTCTTAGCGTCCACGCCGATTGACTTGGTATCCTGACCATTTCATAGATCGTCTCACTGGTATAGGATCGGTTGGATGCATGACATCGAATAGCCATCAAACCTTCTGAGTGCAGAAGATTAGTGCACACCAGAATAAACAAGTATTTTTCTTTCTTGTAACCCTGCTTGATAACCTGTCGAGAAGTATGAAGGCCCAATCTCCACCGAAATTTTTATTCAGAACTTTCCGTCTCAAGCCGAATGAAAACAGAATGCGGACACTGCTAAAATATCTATTGGATTACTGCGGCTAAGTTCCATTCAAAGTCAGATTAGGGTTTTTGTAAAACACCAGCTTCTCGGGCAAGTTGTTGAGCGGATTTCTCGGCCTGTTCAGCAAACCATTCCTTGTATTCTTTGGCTCGCTTTTCCAAGATAATTTTGTTCCTCTTTTGTATGTTGACCTCCCGAGATTTCAAGAATTTGAGACGGATAGCGCCATAAAGAATACCCACCGCCAGTAATCCCCAACGGGCAGTGCGGATCAATGGGGTCACTTCACGTGGAGCGGGCAACTTCACTGTATAAACAGACTCAGACATCTGAAGTGAAAAATCGGAAAGTTGGCAACATTTTCATAAGGTGGATTTAATTTCGTGACAGTGACCCTTAACACCAGATCAGGAGAAACGGAATTTGCAACATTTTAGTAACCAAAGGGAAAGATAATCACGTTACCACATAAGCAACTACTTTACTCTTTCAAAATGCTTATAGCGGTTCTTCGTTGACACCAAAATAATGAACCCACTTCTCGCGCCAAGAGCTTGGGTTGGATCCTCTCTTGATTAAGTGTTTGTAATTAGGTCTGTTACCGGAATGATGGTCGCTCCTCGGGAGCTCATCCAGATCCGGCATCAGGTTTTATCCTGACTATCACTAATTTACATCGCGAATAGAATTACTAAGCTGTCTAGTCACAGAAAGTAGCTTGTATCTGGCTGTACTACAGTCAGGTGGGACATATTCAACTACAACCAGAGAGCAGATAGTTCCGTCACGGAAAGCCTATCTAACATACGGGTGACCTACATTAGCTGCGCTTTAATGCACACGGCACTGGTCAGTCTAACGCTGATCAGCTGTCGTCGGAAGTGTTGTAATTCGAATAAGCTTCGACTCGGTTGTTTAAACTTTGCTTGTTTTAGCTCACCTGGGGCCGTCCAGTCCCGGCTCGCGCCACTTTTCTTCCAACCGGTTCTGGAATCTTGGTCAACCTTGGCTTGTGGGCTGGTCACTAGTAAGAGCAACACTCTACCTCCTGTCAACCATACGAGACTGACAGTACACCTTTTAAAGGCCTCAAAACCCACCGGCTTTTTAGTCAACCGAGGGACATGAGTTGCATTAGCAGAAAGCGTTTGTAGAACCGAAATGGTGAGCCCAACATGATGATTCGCTTGTGACTGCATGCATAACTTGAGCGATGCTCACCCTTATTTTGGCTTACTAAGTGTTTTCATTCATCCTATCGTCAGCAGCCCTCCACTCCGTCCCGGCGATTCTTCATGGGCGTGTAGGTTTTGTCCGTTTGTTTAAGGGAATCGAAAGTCACTGTTCGTTTGTAACGGTTGCCGTCAACCACATTATGGATATCATCTGTACACATTATGTCCGTCTATTTTTGTGACTGTATGACGACAATAATAACAACCAACACCCAACGGCGATCCCCCTTATCTCTTGACTCCAATGACAACTTGCTGCTGCCTTAGTCATTAACATGTGACTACCGTCTACTTACTTGGCGTTTTTTCAACTGTTACTCATGAAGTTTTCTGCCAGCTACGAATTCATTGTAGCCTACGCTTTACTCTCTTTGCAGAAACCGAGCCACCAAGGAGTTCCAAAACTCCCCATTTCGTAGAGTACTGACCTGTGAAGATGTGTGATGGGGACCAGCTACAAGAAAAGCCCGATAAGGCCACTGAAAACCCCGGACACCGACGACGGACACACCGGCAAACGCAAAACGAAAGTCGCGACCAAAACCGAAAACCGCGCCCGCAGATCGGCTCAATTCCGTCTCTTCAGTTCAACTCAATTAAGACAGGACTTTGTATGGCTGAAGCAAATCGCGTGATCATATAGTTGTGCCCTGCGTGATATTTCTGACCTCTTGGTGGGTTACTAAAGAATAGGAGTTCAATTACCTCTTGTGAGCCTTCTGCATGTTTTGTTTGCAGGGAAAATATTAACCCCCTGGTCAGGTCTGGTCAGGCCACGGGACTTGGGGCTCAAGCCGTTGAAGCAGTCTAGGTTCTTTGCACCAGTGAGAGACGAGATGAATCCCAATCGGGGCTGTGACTTCTGTGCTTGCTTCTCGTTTCTGTTGTTTACTCTGTAGATGAAGCATGTTTCGGACTCAATTCACTCTCGGGAGGGTGTAGCCGCCCCACTGTTACGAAATGCCTCCTTCTCCAGGCCTAGGCCCCTCCCCAAGAAAGTCAAAAATACAGGCGGTGCTTAGATAAAGTTTAGTCTTGAAGTACTTCATGGGTTCGAGGCTTTGAGCCCAGTTGTCCCGGTTTAGGCGCAAGCATGATTTGCGGACTCCATTCCCGTCCAGCGAATAGAGACGCAGAACGATAGCAGTTGATGGGTTTTAGTAATTATATTGGTTACCCTGCATAAATGACAGGAGATGGGAGACTGGGGGAGCTAATGGCCAGAGCTGACGAGCTGGAGCGTGCCTTGCCGCCTGCGTAGCGTGACGTAAGTTGGCGATGCTGTCCACTTTGCCAGTACCAGGTAGACTTAAACAAAAAAGACTTCAAGCATCCAGTCGATTGAAGGAACCGTGGCTGAGCCAAGTTCCTGACCCATCGAAAAGCCTGGTCAAAGTTTGCTGAGCTAGTTGCATACCTCAATGAATGACTGATGAGGATCACCCAAATGTCCTACAAGACTTCTAAGATAGGCTGATGTATCCGACCGAAGAAGATTATAACACCACATTGGTTAAATTGGGTCTGGACGAGTGAGAGTACTTTGAAGTACTTTTGTCCTACCTATAAGCCACTTTATGTGACAGAAGAAAGATTCGAAAGGGAAGATTGCCTATAACTAGAGGAGGACCTGTCATCGGAATTGGCCGCTCCTGGGGAGTGGTTGCCATTTCCAAGCAAATCTTAGTGAAAACACCTGCCCACAAACAGGTCACTCCTAAGCCCTGAGCTCTAAATTGCATTTCAATGAGTTTGGTGTCTGCGACGCCGCTGTACCAGCTCTCGAATAAATCTGTAGTGACCTTGATCGTTTTGAGAAAATGACTATTTTCTGGACACCATTTTGGATCTATTTTCTCCACGATCTTTTCTGACGTTTGACATTGACCTCAGTGTTCTCCGGTTGCCTACGTTTTACTGGACTGACTTTTCCGAGGTTTCCGTCTACCTCGTTTCAAATCACTTTCACTTTCGGTCGTTCGCCCGCGGTTCGCTCTCAGCACAGCCGTCGCGTTTCATTCCGTTTTCCGTTCGGTGTATTTCTCGTATCGGTACTGTTTCGGTGCCACGATATATAGAATACACCTCGCATCTGTAAACCGACTTACGTCTTCTCTATTCGTCCGATAGAGGGGATATCGTTGGTATTCGCTGCTAGACCCGATAGGAGACACGTTCGCCAGCCCCTCCCGAACGTCTTCTATGTTGGTGAGCCCAAGAACTTCCAGAACCTCCTGGATTATTCGCCCGCCCGGTAAGTCTGTGATTTATCGCTGTTTCACGTCCTCCTTTCGTTGCACGAAATATATTTTTTACGATGTATTATCGCAACGTAACCATGTCAGAGGATAAGGCGCAGCTCGACACAGATATCACTCTGTCTGCGGTTGCCTTTAAACCAGTGGCGTTTATCCCTCATGATCCAGAGGTTTGGTTTGCAGCCTTAGAGCTGCAGTTTGAGGTACGTAGGATTGTTGGCCAACGCCAACAATTTTCCTATGCCTTAGAGGCTATTCCAGGTGATGTTATCGCCTCGGTGAGGGATTTGGTATTAAATCCTCCTCAAGTGCAGCCGTACGATCGGCTTAAGGAGGCTATACTGCAACATTTCCTTCCCTCTCGGGAGGAACGGTTACGTCAGCTACTAGCACGGCACCCCATAGGGGATACTAAACCCAGCCGCCACCTAGCTCATCTCCGGTCTTTGGCAGGGCCCGCCGATGAGGATTCGGAGATAGTTAATGAACTGTGGTTGGACTCATTACCCTTTCATGTTTAGACCACCGTTACTGCTCTCCTCGAGGACTCGTCCTTGGAACGAGCAGCCGCCGTGGCTGACAAAATTGTCGCACGTTTCGGCAGTGGGGCTAATCCCCTCATTGCCATGACATCGCGCAATCCTAGGGGTGTCGACCTGGATGAATCGCCGGAGAGGCCTCGGCACTCTCGAGCCACCCAGCGCCGTCTGTCCTTCAAGGACAGAGTTAAAATACCTACTCCTCGCAGTAGCCCACGTAAACAACGGCACAGACGGGCGCCCTCTACTGCCCACGTCCGCCGTGAATCCGCCTCACCTGCCCCATCCAAACCTGATCATCCTACCAGCGGCCTTTGTTGGTTCCATCGCGTTTTCGGACCAGCCGCCCGTAGGTGCAGACAGCCGTGTTCATACGCGGCGGGAAACGCCACTGCCGGCGAGTAGAAGCGGCCGTACTCGCCGGCAATCAGTCTCAGATTGGCCGTTTATTTTACGTGCATGATTCGTGCACTAACGCTAGGTTCCTGGTCGATATTGGGGCCCAAGTTTCTGTTTTACCGGTTGGTAAAGACAAGCCACGAGCTTCTTTGCTTCGGCTGTCAGCGGCGAATGGTTCCTCCATTCCTACCTACGGCACGAGACAGCTTGCGGTCAACCTGGGACCACGACGACGGTATCTGTGGACGTTCATTCTTGCGGATGTTCCCACAGGCATACTGGGAATCGATTTTCTGCAGCACTATGAATTACTTGTTGATTCACGTAGGCTGCAGCTTATCGATCCTTCGTCGGACATTAAATTTACGGGTATTGCAGCTCGAACAGATGCACACCGAATCACAGGATTGTTTTCTAACATTCCCCACGATTTTCAGTCTTTGTTTATTAAATTCCCCATATTGACTAAACCATTTGAAGAGATAGAGACAGTGACCGATCGTGTGGCACACCACATTGTCACTAACGGACCACTAGTCACGGCACGACCTCGCCGACTGGCACCGGACAAATTGGTTTTCGCCAAACGTGAGTTTGACACTTTACTTTCTAAAGGTATTGTTCGTCCTTCTCACAGTCCATGGGCCTCACCTCTGCACATGGTTCTTAAGAAAGATGGCGTTAGCTGGCGACCATGTGGCGACTATCGCGCACTAAACTCGGTTACCCGTTACGATAGTTATCCGATACCCCACATACACGACATCACGGCATCACTTCACGGCACGACTGTATTTTCCAAGATCGATTTGGTGCAAGCCTATCACCAGATCCCGGTCGCCGCTGAAGATGTCGAGAAAACCGCTGTCACGACTCCTTTTGGTTTGTTTGAGTTCCTACGTATGCCTTTTGGTTTGCGAAATGCTGCTCAGACATTCCAGAGATTTATCGATAGCATTACACGAGACTTGGAATTTGTTCACGTCTATATCAATGACTTGCTAATCGCATCGTCGAGCGTAGATGAACATTTCCAACATTTGACGCTACTATTTCAACGTTTGTCCGGACATCGAATCGTAGTCAATCCTGATAAATGTGAACTTGGCAAACCGGAACTTGTGTTCCTCGGCCACAAGATCACTCGAGAGGGTATTAAGCCTTGCGAGGATAAAGTGCGCGCTATTTTAGATTACGCCGTACCGTCCTCAATCAAGGAGCTCAAGGCATTTTTGGGGTTAGCTAACGTTTATCGTCGTTTCATACCCCATGCTGCTGAGCGTTTGCTTCTATTAACTGACCTACTTCGTGGCAATCCATGTAAGTTGTCGCTTACGGATGCCGCACGAGTAGCGTTTTCGGAGATTAAAACGACATTAGCTCAGACCACGCTCCTCATGCACCCAGTTCCGTCCGCCACGCTAAGCATAGCGGTGGATGCATCCGACTTTGCCATCGGAGCGGTCCTGCAACAGTCTGTTTCTGGGATATGGCAGCCATTAGAGTTCTTCTCTCGACGCCTCAATCCCACGGAAACCAAATATAGTGCTTTTGGTCGCGAACTGCTGGCTGCGTATAATGCCGTTAAGCACTTCCGCCATGCAGTCGAGGGTCGATATTTCATCCTCTTTACAGACCATAAGCCTCTGACGTATGCATTGCATACTAAGTCTGATCGTTACTCTCCACGAGAAGTCAGACATTTAGACTATATTTCACAGTTCACGACTGACCTACGACACGTTGAAGGTGAGTCGAACTGCGTTGCAGATGCTTTGTCGCGTATTCCGCTTAATGCCATTAAATCTCCGGTTTTAGACATCCCTGCCATGGCTGAAGCACAGGCACAGGATTCTTCATGTATGGAAGCAGCTAAGTCATCGTCGCTACAGTGTCAGTCCGTACCTCTAGCCACCAGTGCTGGGACTATACTCTGCGACATGTCTACTGGCATACCTCGACCAGTCGTACCCTCTGCATATCGACGTCTCGTGTTTGTCTACGTATATGCAAAATCTCGCTCCGGCGCAGACTCGAATACAGCGACGACAGGTTTTTGTTCCGCCCGAACTCAAAACTTGTTCGCATGTGTTCATTCGTGTTGATTCGGTACGGAAACCATTACAACAGCCTTACGAAGGCCCTTTTCGCGTGATTTCTCGTCACGATAAGACCTTTAAGGTTGATCGACACGGTCGCGTCGATACCGTAAGCATCGATCGTCTCAAAGCCGCGTACGTTGATGATAGTGTGTCGCCCGCTGACATGAGATTCGATGTTAACCCTGCACTGCCTGTTGTCGACACTTCGGTGTCACGTCAAGGTCTGCAGTTAGCGTTGCCTGCTACGACTTCGAATGAGGCTATCGTCTCACGTTCAAGTCAGCAGCCAGTTGGCCCTGCTACGTCCTCGAATGAGAATACTGTCTCACGTTCAAGTCAGCAGAGCACGCCTACGCACCCGTCCGTGAATCAGGCTCCCGTCTCACGTTCCGGTTGGAAGATCGTTTGCCCAGCACGTTTTCGCGACCAGGTCAAACACGATCTCAACCATTGCACTTCGCAGTAATAACTTTCGTGCTTATCGTTTCGACACGATTTAACATACCTCATTAGTTATTACTGTATTCTAGTCAAGTCCATTGCGGTTGCTACACCAGTTTTTCGTTTCTTTTCGTTTCATGGAACCTCGCCATATGGTACGCTTCGCTGGTCCCACGAAATCTGGAGAATTTTGGCACCAACGTTTGCATTCTGGATCGGCCTTGTCGTTCTCGTTCCTGGCCATTTACGAACCTATCGATTTGGCTTCCGGATATCATATTGGTTAACGGTTACCCAACGCTGGACGTTATTGGTGTGACACACTTTGATGGCGATTTACGCAACCGACGTCATTGGCAACGAATCTGATTTACTCTCGACCATCATTCTACGGTTCCTGCGTACCACGGATTTTGCCCGTCAGCATCCTACAGCACAGCTACATGCACGTATTTTGCACGCATTTGCGCACACGAATACCGTTTGTGTGCCTTTTCCTTCCTGACATTTTTTTTCGAAAGCTTTCCGTGCTTTCTAGCTGGGGGCTGCTGTAGTGACCTTGATCGTTTTGAGAAAATGACTATTTTCTGGACACCATTTTGGATCTATTTTCTCCACGATCTTTTCTGACGTTTGACATTGACCTCAGTGTTCTCCGGTTGCCTACGTTTTACTGGACTGACTTTTCCGAGGTTTCCGTCTACCTCGTTTCAAATCACTTTCACTTTCGGTCGTTCGCCCGCGGTTCGCTCTCAGCACAGCCGTCGCGTTTCATTCCGTTTTCCGTTCGGTGTATTTCTCGTATCGGTACTGTTTCGGTGCCACGATATATAGAATACACCTCGCATCTGTAAACCGACTTACGTCTTCTCTATTCGTCCGATAGAGGGGATATCGTTGGTATTCGCTGCTAGACCCGATAGGAGACACGTTCGCCAGCCCCTCCCGAACGTCTTCTATAAATCTTTGACCGTCTGTAAGACTCACTGAGCTGAAACGAGATAAAAAAGAAGTGGGGGCGGGGCGGAGCTGGGCGAAGGTGGCAACAAAAACAGAACATACATAACGTCATGCGATGTCTCATTATTGACAGTGCCTCAAGTGAAATGGGGGTGCGATATTCATAAGCATAAGGCGGAATGGAAAATCACTAAGTGACATCTTTTCCACTTTTCTGCGAGAGACCCGGGTAGATTTCCAGCTTTTCCTCGAAGATAGTTTTGTTCTGCTAGAGAGCGATACCTTCCGGAAGAGCGTTCCACAGTGTAACAACCCTGTAGCTAAAAAAGGTAATTCGTGGAGACGTGCCTGGTCTCGGTTTGAAAACCTCTCTCCCGTGACCGCGGAGAGAAGAGGCTGGACAGACGGAGAGGAAGCAATCGCTTTGACCTGGTTCAAAAAGGTGAAACACCGAAAGCAGATCACCTTTTAGGCGTCTTAAGTCAGGGGGATAGAGATTGAGGAATGAGAGGCAGACCGGATAAGGTGGGTGGGATTGACCTCTTATTGCTTTGGTGGAGGCCCTCTGAACTCCTTCTAGGATCTCGCCGTCGCGAACAGGACCAGGGTGCACTATCTTACCACCTTACTCCAGCAAAGGTTGGATATACGTGCCGAAAACTATGGGGAAATCGTCGCTAGACATGCGCCGGAAGGAACTTCAGTTGTATTTCGGACTGGAAAGGCTGACCTGACCGCAAGTTTATGATGATGGGAGAGGGGAAACTTACGATCTAACCAGAAACCGAGCACCTTGTGTCGGTCAACCCTAGGCAGTGTGGTTGCTCCGCTAATGGAAAACTTCTGACAAGTCTCTCTGCTGAAAGCTACGCTCATGAGTTTTTCATCATTAACTGGGAGGCCCCGACCCTCAGGCCAGCGTTTTGTTTCGCCAACTGCAATTTGCTGGTGTTCAGTGCTTGAACTCCAGAGGGTTACATCGTCTGGGTACATTGCAATGTTCACAGGAAGGGCTGCCGGAAGATCGTTCATGTAGATCAAGAAAAGAAGAGGGCCTGAGATTGACCCTTGGGGGACCCCAGTTGTTACTGTGGGGGGTTGAGACAAAACTTTCCAGACTTTAACCCCAAAGGTGCGGTCGGTAAGGAAGCTGCTTCAGGTGGCCAACCTGGAGCCTGTAACCCCATATGTCTGCAGCTTATAAAGAAGAGGGGCATGGGGGACCTTGTCGAAGGCCTTGGCAAAATCGATGAATACGGCGTGTGAGAGCTGGCCATCACTGTAGGCTTTCGTCAGACTATCCATGACAGTAAGCATATCGGTGATGCATGATCTGTCAGGAAGAAACCCATGTTGGGACGGGGGGAGGATCCTATTTCTATGTAGATGGGAAAGAACCGCACTCTTAAGAATTCGCTCAAAAATTTTGCTGGCGATGCTAGTTAGGCCTATAGGTATGTAACTAGAAGCAAGATGTCTACTACCCTCTTATGGATGGATGAGATGCCTTCTTTTTTCCAGCTGCTGGGGAAAACTCCACCGTCATCACATTACTGAAAAAGAGATGCACAAGGAGCAGGTAATGTGTCCGCGGTTTCCTTTAGAATGCGGGGGTGGATTGGGTCAGTACCCATGCACCAGCGCTGGTTGAACTGACGGAAACCTTTTGCAACCGCATCAATGGGAATAGCATTATGGCTAAGGGTAGTGACCAAAGATATCGGGTGCTTGGCGGGGTGGGGCGATATGGGTATGGAGCTAAAAACTGTAGGAAAGTAGGAGTTGAAGGCCTCGGCCACATGGTTGAGGGAAGTGATTGGGGATCCTGCATGATATTTGAAAGCAAGTGGTTTCCGAGCTGTGCCCCTTAGAAGGCTCATGTGCTGAAAGAAAAATGCCTTATTGGCCCGTGCTCGATCAAGTAGAGACCTTTAGACTGTATTCTGATAGGACCTAACCCCGTCTTCGCTTTTGTTGCGGATGATCCTGACATCTTTTGCACAGCGAGCGAGACGTGTGGCTTTATATATAGCAAGGAGGCGTGCGCTTTCGTCTAGAATGCGCCTAATGTTACGAACGTTTGAGCAATGCGTAGCCAAATTCGCAACGGATCCCGAAATCAGAAGGCGATTATCCGTGATAATTCTACGATACTAGATTATTAAAATAAACAATGACGTAAACAATATACAAACCTCAATAATACGATCACAAAGTCTCAACAACGAGAAACCGAATAGCAGCGTGTGAGCAGACAGCACGTGCGTCACGCAGGTCCTGAACAAGGATGTGCCAAAATAGCGCTCTGGGCGCGAACAAACAACAATTGGTCCAGAAAAACAACCAGTTCGTAAAGACAAGTCAATAGTGTATGGAAATGAGTGATGTTGGGAAAAAACACTGAATCGCGAGGGAAAAAGGGGGATTTTCCACGACCGGCTGTTACACCGCCCACCAAAATCCTCCTGGATCCTTAGCAGAGTCAAAGGTTCGGTATAAAGGTACTGATTCTTCCTACCTGCCTAGGCCCTGCTGTCAGTGCGCGCGTCTAATGCTCGTCGTCGACGTTCTACTACTGGTCGCACCTAACCCATTGGCTACATAGACGTGAGGCTAGTCTACATCTTCCACAAGACCAAATGACCGATGGCGGGCGTGAATGGTCACATAGACGTTGTCCTCGTACGGGGCCGTCCGGTCCTGGATGTACGCGCTTGAGTGTGTGTGTGTGTGTGTGTGCGTGCGTGTGTGTGTGTGTGCCGGGGTTACAATGAAATCACAGTTATGACTACACATCAAAGGAGGACTTTCTGCAATGTCAACAAAAGACCGCGTGGCAAGAAAACGAGTAAATGTAGCATGCATGTGTGACCTGAGCTCCACTACTTCCACATGTGCAAGGGGCATTCGGTAGCGTCAACAAAAGGCGAACAAAGAACACTGTCACATGTATGATGGGTTTACGGGATGTAGAGTGCGTCGTGCATGTGTGTATGTATCGGGATGTATAATGGAATCGCACTCATCACCACATATCGGAAAGAACCTTCTGTAATGTCAACGAAGGGACCGCGAGCACCTTAACGTGTTTGACGGAGATTGTGTGGTATATATGGTGTTTCTTTATCCACCTCGATTACTGGTGTGAAAAAGGTTTACTAGGCCACAGGGTTATCAGCTCCTCCGTCTTCGCTCTCGAGTAGGTTAATACTGCGTATGTCACGAATGAGCACTCCGTTAGCTGTCTTCACCTTCACCGTTCTTATCATTTCGTCGGTGCTTTTGATGGTTTCCGTAACTACTCCCAAAGACCAAGCGCTGAAATGTGCGCGTTCGTCGGCGATCATAACCACGTCCCCAACTTTGAATGGTCTTGTTTTGGCCATCCACTTCTGTCGAGTCTGCAAAGCCGGTAGGTACTCCCGTAGCCATCGCCTCCAGAAGACCTTGGCCAGATAATTCGCTTGCTTCCACCCGTGGAGGTAGCTCCCACGAAGGTTTACCGGCCCTTGGAAACCCTCGTTCGACCTTAGCGTCAATAAGTCGTTTGGGGTGAGCGCCAGGTGGGTGGGGTCGCCGTTCAATACTGGAACCAGGGGGCGGTTGTTCAGGATTCGCTCCACCTCAGTCATGACGGTGTTCAGGGTCTCGTCGTCGGGCGGCTGCTGCTCCATGATTGACAGCAATATCCGTCTGGCGGACCGGATCATGCGTTCCCATATGCCGCCTCGGTGACTGGCCTGTGGGGGGTTGAAATGCCAGCGTATGCCGTAGGCCACGGTTCGGTTCTGCAGTTCGTCCCTGTTTATGTTCTTGTGCCAACGCTGCAATTCCCGTTGAGCGCCCACAAAGTTCGATCCATTATCTGAGTATATATCGGCCGGTACGCCTCTTCGGTTGATAAATCTTTGCAAGGCCCGTAGAAACGAATCGGTCGTCATCGAATGTGCGACTTCTAGGTGTACCGCACGTGATTTCATGCACGTCATGATACATCCGTATCGCTTTTCTAATCTTTTCCCGCACTTGACCCACAAGGGCCCGAAATAGTCCAACCCGGTGTCACTGAACGGCCACCAGCCCGTAGTTACCCTGCATTCTGGTAGCGGGGCCATGAGTTGTTTGCCTGCTATGGCATTGCGTCTCCTGCATTGCACACACCGTCGGATCACGCGTTTTACAGTCTCTCGTCCTCTCAACAACCAAAGACGCTTTCGGATGACGCTCGTCACGTGACTTTCCCCGGCATGTCCCTCAATGGCGTGGACGTGTTGAATCATTAGCTCTACTACGGGTTGTCTCGCTGGCAGCAGTATAGGATACTTTGTGTCGAAGTTCAGGTGGGCGTTGGTCAGCCTACCATCCACCCGCAGCAGTCCGTTGATGATTTTGGGGTTTAAACGCTTCAGCTCGCCTCTTGGAGATGGCATGTCTTCATTGGTCAGCCCCACTTCTTCCGCCCTCTTGAGTTCTTGGGCGAAAGCCTCGCGTTGTATCATTCTGAAAATATCGTACTCTGCCGCTTGTAGCTCATCGGGACCTATCGGGCCGACCGGTATCCGACCTGAGGGCCGTAGCCCTTTCATGACTAGTAAACTTATCTTGAACCTGGTTAACCAAACTAGCGAACGAAGCGTCTTCATCCAGGAAGAAAACCTGACCAGTCGCGATAAAATGGGCGACGCTTCGACGACGTTGGTTGCTATCACTACGCCTTTGATCTCCAGTTCCAATTCCGTAGGGGGTTTTAATTCGAACACGGGCCAGTCCTGTTTGGGCAATTGCAGGAAGTTCGGCCCTCTCGTCCACGTGTCCAGTTGCCTGAAGTTGTTCGCACCTCGGGAGCACAGGTCGGCCGGATTATCGCCAGACCTGACATGACTCCACTGGTGCGTGGCCGATTCATCGTGGATAATCGTGAGCCGGTTAGCAACGAAAGTACTAAACCGGCTCCGTACGTTGTTAATGTAGTAAAGTACTATCGTTGAATCCGTCCAGAAGCTCACCGACCAAATGTAGAGATCGAAACATCTCTTCACAGCTTGCACCACCCTGACTGCCAACACGGCTGCGCTGAGTTCAAGGCGTGGGATTGAGACCGACTTCAGTGGAGCAACGCGGGCTTTGGCGAACAGGATCCTCGTGGTATATTGTCCATCTCCTGCGCACCATCGTCCGTAAACCACAGCTCCATAACCGAC